ATTTATTATCTCTTTGTCTGTTCTCTCCATCTCTAGGATCATAATCATCTCTCTCTCTCTCTCCCTCCTTATTACTCTTTAACAATAAATCTTCCCACCATCTTTATCGACCACCTTCCTATCTCCCTCTGTCTGTTTACATTATAATTCGTGTGTGTGTGTGTGTTTTATCCTTTCTCTCTGTTCTTGCTATTCCTTTTCTTTATCTCCCATCTCCTTTAATTTAATTTCTCTCTCCTCTTCCTCTTGTATTCTCCTCCTCCCTCCTCACTTTCCCTAACACACTTTTATCACCGTTTTTTTTTTATTCCACTCAAACTCATCATCAGACTTTTTCAATCGTGTTATCATCCATTTTCTTTTTGTCTGTTTGTTAGTCTGTCTCCCTCTTCCGTCTTCATCGCATTTTCATTTTCTCCCCTAGAACTCAACCAGAGGAATGGAAATATTAATGCAAAAAAAAAAACACTGGAGGCGGCGGCTGGGCTAATCAGCGTCGCTCACGGAGTGAGTAAGTGGGGTCTGTAGGGAGGGAGGGGAGGGGGGAACGGAGGGGGGAAAATGTGATTGGTCGGGTAAATATCTATACTTTTTGTATTAACCTTTCCGCCTCCTTCCGACTTTCCGCTCGCACTTCCGATTACCAACCATGAGTCACAAATACTGCCAGGTGTCTCCTTTAAGTGTTTCCGCCCGTAGGAGTGGTAAGTCAGCGTGGATAACTTAGAAAAATACGAAAAACTGTGGGTAATTTTAACAAGGCGAGGATTAACGGGTTCAGAACAACAGAGGGATTGCCAATTCGTGTTTTTTTTTTCCTCCTTCGGTGTTTTGATTCTCACTTCCTTGTTTACTTTAAGTTATTTGTTTATTCTATTGTATCTTGCTTATTTATTACGGTTTTGTTCTTGTAAGTTAGTTCACAGTTAACGATCCACGAGAACAAATATAAAAAATGCTAAAAAAAAAAACAAGAAACAATTAAAAAAATAAAAAATTAAAACACAATAACAACAATTAGTTAAACAAATACATTTATAAATACACCAAACAATAATAAATAAATATACCAAAAAAAATACGTAAAAAACAAACAAATAAGAATCAAATAAGCAAAGACATAAACAACTAAAACACAAACAAAAAATTAATACTTACAAATAAATAAACAAGGACAACAAATAAACAGACACAATCAACCAAAACCAAATAAACAAAGACATAATCAACAAAAACAAACTCCATGGAATTAATCTCTCGACCAAATTTAATTTTAGGCCCAAACTTTAAAATATATTTTTTTTTTGTGGGCAAATTTCACTTCAAGTTTGAGTACCTGAAGTTAAAAAGAGGGGGAAGGGGGAGGGGGAGGGGAGGGGAGGGGAGGGGGAGGAGGGAAGGGAGGGGAGGGAGGGAGGGAGGGAGAGGGGAGGGGAGAGGGGAGGGGGAGGGGAGGGGAGGGGAGGACAGGAGGAAAGGGGGAAGGGAGGAGAAGAAGAAGGATAAGATGAGAGGGGAAGGAGTAGAGTGGAAGAAGGAGGAGAGGGGAAAGACGAGAAGGAGAACGAGGAGGAGGAGGAGAAAGAGAAGAAAAACGAAGATAAAATGTAGAAGAGGAAGCACAAGAGAATAAAACAGAAAGAGGAACAACAACATCTATAAACAACAAAAACAACAAAAATCACAACAAAATAAACGGACATATATTTTCCATTCCCCCTCCCCTCCCTCCCCCCCACCTCACACGTAAACAAACGCATCACCACTCCCCTTCTACCCCCCCCCCTCAACCAGCTGACTCCACCACCTGTGTAAGATAGGAGGCCCCACCTTACCTGTCGAGCCATCTGTGAAGGGGAGAGGTTTTGACAGTTGCTCCACTCCTCACCACCTCCCACCACCTGTGTAAGATAGGAGGCTCCCCATCTTACCTGTCGAGCCATCTGTGGAGGGAGGTTGACAGCTGGCCCACTCACCACCTTAATGACTCTTGGATTATTTTAAACGTTTGTGTCTGTCGGTGAAACTAAGACCTCGTGCTTGAGTGGACCTGAAAGTAAGACCTTAGGGGGCGGGGAGAGGGGGTTGATGGATTCCAAAATTAAGACCTAGGGGGCGGGGGAGGGGGAGGAGGGACCCAAATTAAGACCTAGGGGCGGGGGGGAGGGGAGAGGGTTGAGGGACCGCACTAAGACCTAGGGGCGGGGGAGGGGGGTTGAGGGACCCAAAATTAAGACCTAGGGGCAGGGGAGGGGGGGGCCGGGAGGGACCCAAAATTAAGACCTGGGGCGGGGAGTAAAGTTGAGGGACCTGAAATTAAGGACCTGTAAGGGGGGGAGTGGGGGGTTGAGGACCTGAAATTAAGACCTAGGGGGCGGGGGAGGGGGTTGAGGGACCTAAAATTAAGACCTAGGGGCGGGGAGGGGGGTTGAGGGACCTAAATTAAGACCTAGGGGGCGGGGGGAGGGGGGGGTTGAGGGACCCAAAAATTAAGACCTAGGGGCGGGGGAGGGGGGCTGAGGGACCCAAATTAAGACCTAGGGGCGGAGGGGGAGGGGGGGTTGAGGATCTGAAATTAAGACCTGGAGGGTGGGGGAGGGGAGTTGAGGAACCCATAATTAAGACCTAGGGCGGGGAGGGGGGGGATTGATGGACCTAAAAATTAAGACCTAGGGGGCGGGGGTAGGGGGGTTTGATGGACCTATAATTAAGACCTAGTGGACGGGGCTAATTAAACCTGAAGGAAGAGGAACGTAACAGGTAATAAAATGAGAATAAGGAGGAGGAAGAGAATAGAAGGAATGGGTGGAGGAAGGAGAGGAAATATAAAATGGAATAAAAAAAACAAGAGGAAGAGGGGGAGAAAAGTAAGAGAAGTGGTCAGAAGAACAAAAAGAGAAAGATGAGGGAGAAGATCAGAATGAAGAAGAAAATAGAGAGAGGAGGAGGAGAAAGAAGGAGGAAGAGAAAGGAGAAGAAGGAACACAAAAGATTAAAATGAAGACTAAAAATGGCAGAACCAAACTCAACTCCATATTTCACAAACCAAAGTACATTAATGTATTTACAGCATTACTAGACGGAAAAACACAATACTCCTTTTTACTAACAACAACACGCCACTCTAACCCCAGTGACGACACAAGACTGACACACACACATTTATTCTCCCCGAGAAACTTCCGTAATAAGTAGCTTAAGACCAGATGAAAATGAGGCTGCTCCTTACCATCAAAGAAAACTGTTCCTTCCCACAACACAGAAAACGGAGCCATCTTAACCTATAGGATAATCTATGGTAGATCGATTTTTCTTCCGACTTACCTTCCTGGGACTAGAATAGGTTAGGGGATATATATATATATATATATATATATATATATATATATATATATATATATATATATATATATATATATTGTTAATATACTGAATTAGCGTTGTGTGTATTAATGTGTATATTCGAAGGCTTCCAGTTAGCTTTTAGAATGTTTATATACATACGCTATACTAAACTAATCCTTAAGGTACCAACTTTATATCATTATAACCATAATCATGCCAACGTAGCTTAACCTAGTTTAAATTTAGCACTGAAGTTAGGCGTGAATTAAGTAACATTGTTTTTTATCTTATCTATGATAAAGTTTGTACTATAACCATTCATTTAACATCGCCTAGTTTAATGTTTCAAGGTATGATAATGAAGACACGTAACAAATATGATCTATCCTAGTATAACCAAATTTCTTCCATTAAAGAAAACGGTCTTTCCTGACATCACAAAAAACGGTTCATCTGGAGACTATTATAAACGATAAACGACCCTTCCATTCAACACAACACCAAGAGCCTTTCTGTTAGTATTTGTCTGTATGTTTGTATGTGCAATTGCAATCGTATGTCTACAAGGGAATTTTTATTTCTGTTTGTTGGTTTGTAATAAAATCAAATAAAAATGATCTGAAACAATACCTTGACTGAAACAGTTATAGTACGTCATTTATAAACTGGGTTAGGATAGTCTCCCATGCCTTCCATCACAGAGAATTGTTATGGCCTTTACAGAAAATGGGTGTAAATGGGAAGCTATTCAATACTGGCCAAAATCTTTATCATTTATTTACAAAACCAAGGAGACATGGTTGTAGGTCAGATGGGCCCCTAATTATAGAGGGTGCTGTTCTACTGGGCCCCTAATCATAGAAGTCGTTGTTCTACTGGGCCCCTAATTATAGAGGTCGCTGTTCCACTAGGCCCCTAATTATAGAGGTCGCTGTTCCACTAGGCCCCTAATTATAGAGGTCGCTGTTCCACTGGCCCCCAGGCTAAATTGGTAACCTACGACCTACACTTTTTACTTTACCCATTTTCCCCACCCACGAGGTCTTCATAAAATAAATGGACTCGGTTTCGATTTCAGGAGCTAAACTGAGTACTCACACGAGGACTCAGCAGGTACGACAGGTAACATGATTAATTTGTACATCAGATCTCCGAGAACAGGTAAGTAAAAAGGACTCGGGGAAAAATACGATCATAAAAAAGTTAAAAGTGAGTACTTACATGACGTCGTAGAGTCCAATAAACAAGGACTCGGGCACGAATTTTACACACACACAAAAAAACGAGTACTTACGGGAAAATGTCCACTCCAACTGACGTCGTCAGTCGTCATATTAAGTACCATAACAAGAGGTAAAATGAGTACATACACGGACTCATCACAGGGACAATAAAAATATATAAAATGATTACTAAATAAGTCTTTACATGGGACTCAACACACAGACGTAAGGAACTAATTTTTACAGTGAAACCTCTATTTAATGGACCATATGGAGACAAAAGTCCGTAATACCAAGGCTCCGTTAGATGTGAAACCTCCATATAATGAACTATAGATGTGAAAGTTCGTTATATGAAGGGTCCGTTAGATGACTGGAGGGTCCGCTACATAGGAGTTTCACTGTATGAACTTCTCGAACTTGAGTACTTACATTAGATCACCGAGTCCCATCTTCATGTTGGACTGGACGAGGGCGCAGCTCTTGTGGTCGCTGAGGGTGACGGCGGTGCGCCTCCTGAAGTAGCCAGCGCCAGTGAGGGGGGAGGGAGAGTTCAGGTTCGGGTAACGGGAGACGTAGGGACCGTTGGGCAGGCTGAGGCGGACGTGCTTCTTCATAACCCCGACGTTCGTACTTCTGCCCCCGCCCACGCCCACGCCCATGCCCACGCCCACGCCCCCGCCCACCTCTGCCGATGTTTCTCCACCGGCGGATAATCCATTCGTCACGGAGCGGTTACTTCCACTACGGGCGGATAGTATTCGTACCCCGTCGTCGTCGCCTCCTCCTCCTCCACCACCGGTACTTCTGTTACTCCCGTCCTCATCGTCGTCTTCTTCTTCCTCTTCTTCCTCGTCCTCCTCCTCCTCCATATTATCATCAACCTCTCGATCAGATTTGTCCCTTTCACCGTCCTCGTCATCGTCAATAATCGTCTTGTGAGGTTTAGTCTTTTTCTCCCTTTCTCCATCCTCGTCATCCTCCTCCTCCTCCTCCTCCATGAGCACCCCATGACCGTCAGAGGTGAGGGAGGAGTGCCTCCTGGCCAGTAGACTGCTCGAGCCTTCTATGGACCCGACGGACGACCTGCCAGGAGAGCGTGAGGGGGACCTACCCGGGGTACGTCCTGGGGAGGTCCCTGATACTGAGGGCCCCGGGGAGCGTGCGGGGGACGGCGTGGTCCCAATGGGAGCTGGGGACCGGCAGAGGGAGGTAAGGGAGCCGCTGGTGTTCCTCCTTGCGGCTGGGGAGGCCAGGCGGGAGGGGGAGCGAGAGGCGGGGAGCAGCGACGACGACGAAGACAACAACGACGCCGAGCTGGTGCGACGCCTCGCGTGTCGCCCAGCTACCCCGAACATCCTCCTCCTCCACCACCGCTACCTGGGGGAGAGACACACCTGTTAGAGCATGGCAGTACAAACACAATATTTACACTCAAGTATCTGTGTGTGTGTGTGTGTGTGTGTGTGTGTGTGTGTGTGTGTGTGTGTGTGTGTCAAAGACCAAAAAACACTGTAATACATTTTAAATAGTAGAAGACAAGCATACTCACCACCCTGAACGAATAATATCAACACAATGACTTAAACTAGCCATAAAAAAATCACCTAAGTGCCCCTCTAAATCATCCCCCTGGCAGTCGTTCTCTCTGGTTCAAGGTAACAGAAAACGGACACTTAAACACTGAGGCCAAGGATTCAGGAGGTATCCGTTTTCTATAAGAGACTCGTCGAACAACATAACAGAGAAAAATGTTGTAGCTTCGGCAGGACTCGAACCTGTGACCTCCAGTAAGTTTTCAATACAACTGGCGCTCTCCCAACTGAGCTACGAAACACTTAGCAATAGAGATACAATGGTGGTACTAAAACATTATTTTCTCTGATTGTAGCGGTGTTAAACTGGCCTAGTACGGTCGTCGTAGTGGAGGGGTTGAAAATATTAAAATAAGACAGAACTACAGAAAAATATGAGTGTGGCAGTGCGCTATCTTTATACCATGGACAGAAAGAGGCGTAAAGAAACTTATCCATGGTCCACGAATCGAGCCCAGGTCCACTCCTTTACGAGGCGAGCATCCTGACCAATACACCACAAGTCACCATCCTACACACCAACCCTCTCCAACACTTCCTACCCCCTCAACACCCTCTCCCTATCCTACACTCCCTTTACCCTCTCTTCTACCCCTTCCTCTCCTCTACCCCCTACCCCTTCCAACATCCGCTACCCCTACAACATCCCCCTACCTCTCCCTACCCCTCTCCCTCTCCACACCCCTACCCCCTCTCCTACCCCCTCTCCCTACACCCCCCACCCCTCTCCCACACCCCCTGCCCCTCTCCCCACCCCCTACCCCCCTCTCACTCACCCCTACCCCCTCTCCCTCACCCCTACCCCCCACCCAGCACCCAGGTTCTCGCTCTCTCCCCTTAACTTGGTATCAACTCCCGCCTTGGTCTATCCGATAGTTTCCTCTGTGAGCGACAGGACACACACACACACACACACACACACACACACACACACACACACACACACACACACACACACACACACACACACGTTCAGCATTATTCCCCCACTGGTAGTCGGTCAATCCCTCACTTAACTTTCGGTCTGTCAGGTCAGGTCAGGTCATGTTTAGATTAGGTTAAATTAGATTAGGTTAGGTTTGGGTAAGCTAGGTCAGGTCAGGTTAATTTAAACGAGGTTATGTTAGGTCAGATCAGATTTGGTCGAAGTGGATCAATGACCGGACAAGACTTCCGGGTACAACACCAACTTAAACCGGGTCATGGGTCCGCTAGGTGGATCATGGGTCCGGTAGGAGGTCATGGGTCCGTTAGGTGGATCATGGGTCCAGGTGGATCATGGGTCCGGTGGATCATGGGTCAGGAGGTCATGGGTCCGTTAGGTGGGGTGGGGCGGAACAGCTAGGACAGGGCTGGGGGTCGTGGTGGGTGTGCGGGGCGGGAGCAGGTGGGCGTGGGGCGGGCGGGGCAGTGGTGCATGCATGAATCACTGCGCCCTCCATGGTCGAACCCCTGACAGACACGCCCTGGCTTTAAGTGATACAAAATGGAAGACTCGACCACTTACCCCCCGTCAACACCCGTCAACACCACTACCCGTACCCCCGTCAACACCACTACCCACTCACCACTCACCCCGTCAACACCACCACCACCCCCGTCAACACCACTACCACTACCCCCGTCAACACCACTACCCCGTCCTACCCCCGTCACCACCACTCCCCCGTCAGCACTACCCCCCCGTCAACACCACTTCCCGTCAACACCACTACCCTCGTCAACACCACACCCCCCGTCAACACCACTACCTAACTGCCAATCCCCCTCAGCACCACTACTCCCCCGTCAACACCACTACCACCCACCGTCAACACCACTACCACTACCCCCAGTCAACACCATAACACTACCCCCGTCAACACCACTACCACTACCCCGTCAACACCACTACCCCCGTCAACACCACTACCACTACACCGTCAACACCACTACCCCCGTCAACACCACTACCCCCGTCAACACCCTACCACTACCCCGTCAACACCACCACCCCTGTCACACCACTACACACCCACCCTGCCACCACAACCCATGCTACCCGTCAACACCACTACCCCCGTACACACCACTACCCCCGTACACACCACTACCCCGTACACACCACTACCCCATACACCACTACCCCGTACACACCACTACCCCCGTACACACCACTAACCCCGTACACACCACTACCCTCTTACACACCACTACCCCCGTACACACCACTACCCCCGTACACCACTACCCCGTGCACACCACTACCCCCCCGTACACACCACTACCCCCATTACACACCACTACCCCCGTACACCACTACCCCCCGTACACACCACTACCCCGTACACCACTACCCCCCGTACACCACTACACGTACACACCACTACCCCCGTACACACCACTACCCCCTCTGCCACTACACCCCATAACACCCACTACCCCCCGTACACACCACTACCCCCGTACACACCACTACCCCCATGCACACCACTACCCCCCGTACACCACTACCCCCGTACACACCACTACCCCCGTACACACCACTACCCCTGCCTCCAATCTCCTATTTCCTCCACTCCTTCTATTCTCTCCTTTCCTCTACCATCTATCTCCCCATCCCTCCTTCCTCCCTCTCCTTCCTTTATTCCACCACCTTTCCTTCCTCTTCCAACCTGCCTCCCTCCCTTACTCACAACTTTTTCTACCACGTCTCCTCTTCCATCTCCTCTCCCTCCCTCCTCCCCTCCTCACCACCATGATAACTGGTCTTCTGAGGGTGAATAAATATGAGCGCTGGTATAAGAAGGGGAATTTCGTCCTACTTGTCTCGATATTTCAACTTCTTATTGCCTCGAAATCAAGTTTTTTATTAAGACTGATCTCAGCTTTTATTGACACTGATCTCAGCTTTTGTTGACATTAATCTCAGCCATTTTGTCTTTAATCTCACCCCGGATATCACTAATCTCAGCTCAGCAGGTCATTAAGTGTAAGAGCCTCGGATCAGCTGATGAACATAAACAAACAGTGGGATATCACATGACGTCACGCCTCGGATCAGCTGATAGATATAAACAAAACGGTGGGATATCACATGACGTCACGCACCGGATCAGCTGATAGATATAAACAAACGGTGGGACTATCACTGACGTCACGCCTCGGATCCCAGCTGATAGATATAAACAAACAGTGGGATATCACATGACGTCACGCCTCGGATCAGCTGATAGACATAAACAAACAGTGGGATATCACATGACGTCACGCCTCGGATCAGCTGATAGACATAAACAAACAGTGGGATATCACATGACGTCACGCCTCGGATCAGCTGATAAACATAAACAAACAGTGGGATATCACATGACGTCACGCCTCGGATCAGCTGATAGATATAAACAAACAGTGGGACATCACATGACGTCACGCCTCGGATCAGCTGATAGATATAAACAAACAGTGGGATATCACATGACGTCACGCCTCGGATCAGCTGATAGATATAAACAAACAGTGGGATATCACATGACGTCAAGCCTCGGATCAGCTGATAGATATAAACAAACAGTGGGATATCACATGACGTCACGCCTCGGATCAGCTGATAGAGTTAAACAAAGATTGGGGAGATGACAGTGCTATCCTCACCTCGTCTGACGCCAACAATGAACACTTATAGAGGGGATCACCAAGTGCCCATGATGGCGTTCCTCTTTTTTGTGGTATATTTTATTTACGCCATGAAGGTGTTACAATATGGCGGCAGATCCTCACTGGGACTTTAGCCTGAGAGAGAGAGAGAGAGATCTGCCTCTTACCTTCATCCCGTTATTAACAACTCTCTCTCTCTCTCTCTCTCTCTCTCTCTCTCTCTCTCTCTCTCTCTCTCTCTCTCATTATTATAGGAACAACAACAACAACAACAATAACAACAAAAACATTCTCTCACTTCCCATATCAGTCAGAGAATCAACTCAGTCAAGGTTGGCATTTATGAAGCTACCTGACGCACTATCAGTGAACAGAGAGGGACACACTGGAATATAAAGATCCCTCAGTCAGTAAGTCAGTCAGTCGGGATTGTCATTCATAGAGCCGGCTGGCGTATTATCATGCTCGAGGGCCGGGTAAAATCGGGCTAAGAGTCAGGTGTTTGCTTCCATCCGGCTCTGAATCCCTATCTGATACGCAGCTTTAAATGTGGGGCGTAGCTGGCTGTGTGTGTGTGTGTGTGTGTGTGTGTGTGTGTGTGTGTGTGTGTGTGTGTGTGTGTGTTAGAGTGGGAAAGAGAAATCGAAATAGAGAGAGAGAGAGAGAGAGAGAGAGAGAGAGAGAGAGTTATCGTAAATACATCCTACTATCACAGTGTGTGTGTTGGTGAAGGAGGAGAAAAGGTGGGGGAAGGGTAAGGGGAGGAAGGAGAGGAAGGAAGGAGAGGAGGGAGGGGAAGGGGAGGAGGTGGGAGGGTTAGGTGAAGGAGAGAAGGGGAGGTGGAGGGAGAAGAGGGGGAGGTGGGAGGGGAGTGGGGAGGGGAAGAGGAGAGGGGGAGGGGGAGAAGGGGTGAAGGGAGGGGAGAGGGGTTTAATTGACACTCTGAACTGCAGGTACGACTTTCATTTCATTCCATTTTCTTTCTTCTTTCATTTAATTCCCATGATTATGAAAATACCTTCAATGACTAACAACAACAACAACAACAACAATAATAACGAGATTATGAAGGAAGAATCCACGCGTATGGGGGCATAGGCTGTTTATTGGTCCTTATATACCATGACGTCACCGTGTCTCCTCCC